TACTTTCTGTTTTTAAAGATCGTTTATTTTATGTATGAATTGTTTTTATGTTTTTTATGTCCATGTTAACACCACGGTGCTTTAATTTAAGAAACATGTTGTCATGAGACTTTAAGTTTGGGTCATAAAGATTAGAACTAAACTATTGGTCTTGGTTTATTATTCTGTTGCATATTTATGTGATATTAAAGGTATTGTGAAGGATTTTTTAAAAGCCCTCGCCCTGTGCCAGAGCATGCACGAGCCCATTTCTCCTTGTGCACGCTCTATTTAAAATGTGCTGTTTTAATCGCTCATACAAGCTTACATACAGCCCACATACAGCGGGGACTATATAGTGGATTTTATAGTTAACTGACCGTTCAGACAGATTATCTCTGCTTTTTAATCCCCGTTGGTCATGTAACTTCTCCTCCACCGCATGGTACCTGTGCCATCTTTGTTATTAGTTGCCGTTGTCGGGTAGCGGCAGCCTATGGTGAAAGCCAGCCGCTGTGAAAGCAAATTCCATAACACTTTGCTAAGAGAGCTCTCCGTGCAAAGCATCGTGGGATACATCTGCCTCTTCTGAGGCCTTGCTTTTCTTCGTGTACACTTCATAGACACTTTTTCTCTTACGACCCTTTGACATTTTCAAATAACTGTGGTGAGAAAGGTGAGCTTCAATCAGTGTCTGAAACCATGGCTGATCACACATATGTGGCTGGAAGTGCGCATGCACAGAAAAAGATAGTGGATGAGCATGTAGGACGGCCTTATAAAAACTTATCACCAGAATGATTGACAATAAGGAGGAGCACTTATTTAGATGATCTTCTCGGAAATAAAACATCGTAATAATTTAACATTATTGTGCTTCCAGGGCGCCTTATTTGTGCATTTTCAAGTTCATTCTACTTTGAGGAACCACCTATTCACACTTTGAACTCTGTGAGGCAAACTGGGCCATAGGAGACCCAAAAACGTTGCTGGAGAGATTTACTGGCAAAAACGACATTAGGGTTTCCTCTGTAATTCATGATTAAGTCATGGCATTTAATGGGCCCAAAGGCAAAAATGAGAGAAATCCATTAGTCGGGTAATTTCCAGAATGCCTTAGCTGAATTTCCCATTCTAGTTTGCTTGTACACAAAATATTGTTGTTATGGTCGTGATAATTTTCCCAAGACCGTAAAATATAGTTGGAACATAGAGAGACTGATAAATAAAAACGTTACTTTTTGGATCAGTTCTTTCTTTTATAGAGAAGTCTTGTTCTACACCATGCTGAGGCTGACCGTCTCTTGGCAACCAACTACTCCTTCACCCAACCTCGATTTTCTCCACCTGCAGGTCAACGTTGAGTTGATGTCCTGTTAATGTTTTTGACTTGGGCCCTGGCTCAGTCAGGTAGACAGTGGTAAACCATACTAACCCCACTGCTGGCAGATCCAAGGCCTGGCTCTGGAACGATGTTATATTATCCGTTTACTGGGCAAAGTTCATAAACTCAATCTAAAGCCTGTTTTGATTTTATTACACCGTTTCTATAGGCACTACATTATATTTGATGCAGGTCAGGCTGGTTTGACACAGATTTGTTTGTCTTGTGCCTGGTGATGGACTGGCAACCTGTCCAGGGTGCACCCTGCCTCTCACCCATAGACAGCTGGATATAGGCACCAGCACCCCTCGCAACCCCAGCTGGGATAAATCGTGAGACAAAAAAGGATGGATGGATGGATGTTTGTCTTGTTGATCACCATTGCAATTTGGGTGGGATCATTTACAGCGTAGCAGCCCAGCGGTCTAATAAAGTGAACACAACATCAGAGCACGGTCTGCTTCTCAGTCTATACTGTAGCTTTGAAGCCGTGTCAAACAGAGGGATTAAGAACCAAAGGTTTTTTGATGGTGGGCTGAAGCTACCTAGTGCTAGCTTGCTAACATAGCGCTCATGTACTCAATCAACCCGGCCTTAAACAATTTAGATTTAGCATTTTAATACTTTTTCATTTCATTAAATTTTTTAATTGATTTCAGTTTTAATTGAACTTTATTGATCTCACATTGGAGTATTTTACCTCTGCATTTAACTCATCCCCTTGGGTAGCAGTGGGCTTCCATTGTGCGGGGCCCGTGGAGCAGGGTGGGGTTAAGGGTCTTGCTCAGGAACCCAGAGTGGACTTGAACCAGATACTTGCAACCTTCTCAGAGCACAAGCGCACTGCTCTAACCCACTATGCCAACACTCCCCTTTGAATGAGAATAAATTGGCACAAGGGGGGGAATGGGGGTCTCACTTTGGACAATTAACACTTGGTGTCTTGACAGGGATGCAGATAGACTTCTGATTGGAACTCTAATTGTAATTTGAGGTCACCTCCAAACATGAGTGGGAGCATGAGTTTGGAGTCGATTAGGGAAAATGTCCAAGTTTGCCTTCATTTGTCAGTAAACCGGGCTTATATGGCTAGCTTTTACACATAATCTAAAAATTATATAAAATATAATAAACAATAAAAGTGTAGCATGATATTTTTACGAAACTATACATTTTCGAAAATTCAGTTCAGAACTGCCACTAAAAACAAAGATAAAGCACCAAAAGTGGCAGTAACAGGTGTGTTATTAGGAGCCATTTTCCTCGAACAGCCAAGGAGCAAAACAATCCCTTCTGAGCTCAGCCAAGTTTGGATGTGCGGAGCAGGAGAAGAAGCCAACATCTTAAATGAGGTTTATCAAAGCAGACATACTAATATTTGTTTCTCACCAATTCCATTCTAAGTGACAGGAGTGGTGTGTAAACAGCTGGTTTGTGTGCGTCCCAGGGGGATAGGCATTAAAAGGGAAAATCCAAAACGCACACAAAACAGCCATCATCTTAATGAGGGCTTACAGCGGTTTGTGAGGCTGGCGCACTATTTGCAAATAGCTCATCAGGAATGAAACAGAGAGAGAACGAGGGCTCGGCTATCACTCAGTTTCATATTTCACATCGCTTAAGATTTTTTTCAACACCTAAAGTACCTTATTTATATTCCATCACCTTATGTCATATTAGGATTTTCTCTGATCTCTGTTGTCAGGAAGCCATGTGACTGTCCTTCAAAGTAAAAACGAAAACAGTATTTCAAGTGGAGCTGCACGTAAAATGTTTTCGATTCCATGCTGTCACACTTAATTTAAACAAAAGGTTTATGTGATGATTTAGGACAGAAGCTGCACAATACATCTCTATTATCTAGTCTTTGAGCTTTTTTATTCTAATTGTCCAAATCAAATTGCAGTAACATAAGGAAAGTATACTGCATTATTTAAATAACATTTTCAAGTTTAAAGCTTAAATTTCAGACTTTCTTTGGAGCATCAACTTAAAAAATCCCTAAGCAGTGGAAGAACAAAAGATTTCTAGGGATGGCCCTAAATGGCTCTACAGAGACTCCCAATTTGTTCATGAAAATGCATCACAGCCCATAAGAGCAGACAGCTATTATTAGTGCCAAAATATGTGCAGGCACCAGCAATCTCCCTGCTTATACCGGTATGTAAAAAATTACTACTGAAAAAGAAATAGCTAATTTCAGAGAGCAGGCAGAGATTTGGATTTATTTATTTATTTGACAGGGACAGTGTACTTTAATAAGCATTCCTGCAAATTCACAGGAATTCTTGCAGATCTTAAAATTGTCTACCAAAAAACACAACAGTGCCTGGTTCTGCTGGAGGTTTCTTCCTGTTAAAAGGGAGTTTTTCCTCTCCACTGTCGCTACAAGCATGCTTAGTGTGAGGGATTGCATTTGAGTCAATGATTCAATGCAATCAACTGGTTTTCCTTAGATTAAAAACTTTTAATCAATTTGACTGGATGATCTGGTGAACTGTAAAGTGCCTTGATGACGTGTGTTGTGAATTGGCGCTATAGAAATAAACTGAATTGAAATTATGGATTTTACAATAAAACATGCAAATATAAAAAGAAATAAAAACAGCACAGCGAAACATTTTAAAGTTGTTTATTGGTACATATGAGAACAAATCAACCAAGAACAGAACATGACAACAGTTTTAGTTAGAATAGTTACTTTGTTAAATACAGACCACTACACAAATCAGCACAGTGTGGCATGCTGCAGCAATCCTAGTAGCCATCTTCTTGTATCATTTTAATGCATTCAGAATATTAGCTCTGTTGAGTTCAGCTTTTGCAGTTTAGTGATACAATTTCCAAATTTCAGCATATTGCAAAACTGGCTTAGAGTGGTGCTTATGTAATGTTTTAAGAATACATGCATGCTTTACCTTTTTTAATATTCCTCAAATCTATAGGCTACTGACTTGTCTCCAAATGCAGTACTCCCTGGCTTGCAGCATGAGATATGAAGAAAAAGAAAACCAACATAGATATGTTTAATGATCTCCAGCATACAGAAACACAAATGCATACATGATACAGTATCCCTGCTGCATTATAATGTAAAAACCTAAAGATTTATTTTCTGTCACTTACAATCCCATTTGTTCAGATTTAACCTTTAAATCACATATCATATATTTTGGCTCAAACAGAATGTGCATAATCTTTCTGAATGGCTAAAGATAAACAAATGCTGGCTTCAAGTCTTACTATATTATAATGAAAAGGGAGAATTGGAGATGCTTTATTAGCATTCCTTTTAATATTCTATAATGGACATAAAAAACAACTTAAACTTTAGAGTGATCTCCGTATCTTATAGTACATTTAATTTTAATTATTTGGTTCAACAGGGATAAAAACAAATCAAACTGCTTAAACATAGAATTAATATTATGTGGGAAAGGAACATTTACAACACACTATATCTTTTTTTTGTTCCTGTAAATGTTTTTATTTTTAACTTTGACAGTCGCCTGAAACCTGGACAAACATATTAAGAACAGTGTTAATTTGGCTAATAAGCTAACCACAAGATACATAGAATGTTTGTTTTTTTCAAACAAACTTAGTCCCTATTCTTGCATTTATTTGAGGGTAGCAAGGTTTTAGCAAGTTTAAAGAATCTTTTTATAAATGTATTTTTGAAAAAAGCTAGTGTACTTAGCTAAATGAGATTAATCTGACCAAATTCAACTTGAATTGGAAGGGAAAAAAGCTGCTATGGGGATTTTTGATAACTAGCATGCATGTGAAAAGTTTTCTACTTTGTTCTGGAGATGTTTTGATTTAGATGCAACAATCACACAAGTCCAAGAACACTGTTTTTATAAGAAAAACAAATGCCGTGTAGCGCTGATGTCCCTTTAAAAAGCTGTATTATATCTTTATTAATCTACCTGTTGTATTTATTTATTCCTCATCCGTACAACTAGATGTTGATGTCAATCCAAACTCCAATTATAAACCAAATATGACTAATCTAATCAAATAAATACAACTTAAATGAAAGAAAGATAGTTATTGTGTCCAGTTAGTTTAATGTTTTATTTCCTAAAGACACAATCACAATAGCTCTTAGCTTACTAGCTAAATCAAAGCTGTTCTGAATATTTTTTTTAAATGGTTTTAAAGTGTCTCCACAAGGAAAACAATTGGTTGGGTTTTTTGTTACTTAAGCCAATTTACACCATACATAACCAATTGGCAAATTCATCATCTCTTTGAAACTGTCATTTGCCAAAAAAACAAAACAAAATAAAGTTTATAGTCAACAGTTAAATAGTGACTCTCTTGTAGTACTTTCATGCTTTTGCGCTTCCTTTGAAATATTGCTGTTATTACACAAGGTGCCTTAGAAACCATCAGCAAAATATCAATAACCTTTGAGGCCTTTTATTGTCCTCAAATGGTTTTAGAGTTAAACCAGGAACATTTCCTCCAAGATCATTTATGGCGTTCTGTAAATCTGGAACATGAAATTTCTCACACACAGTTTTATATTATTTATATTTAAACTTCAGTTCAAATAAATATGGATCATATACAAAACTCCTTCAATATGATTTTTACAGCATATAGGTTCAGATGAGTCTGTAAACTTGAACAGGTGTGCAAAAGAAGAACAACGTAATTAACCTTTATTTCAGTCCAAAGCGCTTGCTGTGTTAGCGGGTTTAATCAGGGTACAAGATGAAACCAGAGAAGGTGCTATACTTGTTGTTATTGCCTCCATGAGCTTTTCCTCCATCCAATTTAACATAAACCTCATCTCCAGAGTCCAAGTGTAGCACAGCACTGTTACTGGCGTAGTCATAGTTCTGGTCTGCGTCTTGAGCTATGGCACTGGCCCGGACCTGGTGGAATAAGAATAAAGGAGAGTAATTATCACTTTATTAAACATATTGGATATAAAGACTGAGGGGTAAAAGTTCACATAGACCTAAGAGGCAAAATAGAACAGCAGTGGTGTGGAAAAAATGTTAAATTGTAATTTCAAACCTTCAAAAGTTGATTCAAGGCTTAAGTTAGCAATACAATATGATAGAATATAAAAACAATATGATAGAATCAAATCTAAAGAAGCAGCTTAAAGAGACTTCAGGATTTAATGCTTTGTTAAAAGCCTTAAGAAGTATTTGTCATGTTAGTCTGCAGGATGGAAGGCCAAAAGTGCCACAAACCACTACATTTTATAAGGTTTTAAATCATGATTATAAAATTTAAAGCTTTAATTTATTATGTACTAATTCATCATCTGTTTGGTTATTTCAGGGTTAGTTCTGTCAGCCTCGACATTCAAATGAGCTAGCAGACACAACACTGCTCTAAACCAGGTCTGTAGTTGAATTGCTTTGGATCTTAACCAATCACATGTCATACTATACATTACACATGAAAGAGAAATAGATTTCAAATAACTGCAATTTTAATCTGATGATTAACTAATGAAATATTAATTTTGTTATAAGTTAATGAGACATTTAAAAATAAATATTTATTATATTAATTTCTGTTTTACATAATTTATGAACAAATATATTTGACTTTGTATACTTGTCAAAAATAAAATGACTTGATAGCTTGGTATAATTATTTTTTATTCTTTATTCTGCCATAGATGTATACAATGATTAGTTCTATAATAAATTAAGCTTTGCATTTTCAAATCCATCCATGATGGGGGGGCACCAGTGGTCACAAAATATTATTTAAAAAACCCTAATTTTATATATGAAATCTAAAACTTTTCTCATTATTTTGTAATTTATAATATTCATATTAAATTTCTTTACTTTGCAAGTTTTGGGGGAATGTTTAAAGTGATTTATGGATGTATAAATGTATATATAGATGTATTTATCCACTGAAGTTATTGGGTTTTCATACATGATTCATTAACTTTTAGGATTGTGTCTCTTTCATCCTTAAAATGCATCGAGCTGCAGATTTAAAGGAAAATATGAAAGAGAGCAGCAGTCCAGGGGATTTCTGGAATAGCAGCTCTTAAAAAATCTATGATAGTAGGTAGTCTGTGTTTATTGAAAGTTTGAAAAGATTTTGCGTCAGGTAGAATGAAAACGAAGTGCCTGTGCCATGCTGTGCGCACTGCATGCGTAAAATCCTACCCAGCGTTATAGCTTTAGACACCATTCCCCATAAGAGAACCTAAATGTTATAGAAATGTTGGTGGAATATTCAGACTACCCATTGAACCCTCCTCCATACTCTGAGTCAGCTCTACCTGTCCGTTTTTGCACAGGTCGGCCCACATGCTGGTGCCATCCCCTCCGCGCATCAGCACATGGTAGGTGAAGAAGTAGATCCCGGACACATGGCAGGTGAACTTCCCTGTGCTCGAGTCATAGTGGTTTCCCAAGTTTGTGATCACGTCGTCGAACTTGAGCACCTCATATCCCTCGTGTGGGTTTTTCAGCCCCACGTAAAAAGCGATCCTGTAGCCGCTCATGGTGGAGTTTGCGCCGTCTCCATCACCGGTGTCCCCTCCCGCAGCTCCAGCAGCTCCAGCTAAAGCGGTGAACGCCAGTTTATTGTCCCCCCTCTCTCCCGGCGGTCCCCTCGGTCCGGGGGGTCCAGGTTCCCCCGGAGGACCCCTGGGTCCGGGCTTACCGGGTCGCCCCGGCTCGCCGCGCGTCCCTTGTGCCATCGGCGGCAGGGGAGCAACCCCGTTCACATTCTGGCTCACCTCCATGGCGGTGGCTCCCCCCGGTTTGGGGCTGTACGGGTCACAGACCATCCGACAGGTGCCCATCATCTCATAGTAGTGAGCGGAGGTGTCCGGGGAGCGGAGGAGCAGCAGGGGGACAGCGATGGTCAGAGCCAGGAGAACCATGGCGACAGCGGTCACCGCAAAGACCACGGACCACTTCCTCCGGGCCGCGCGTGGACCGACGGACGCCAGAAAACCCGACGAGCCGCGCTGGAGGGCAATTGTGACAGTTATGAGAGGGAGGCGATGAGGCAGGCGGAGGTAGAAGAAGTTGTGAAAGTGCGCTGAAGTGTCTCCACCGCTTCAATCCGCGTCTTCAGTCCCCCGGGCGGCTGTGAGCGAACAGGAGATGCGCGCCTTGGCTGGATGGAGGGGTGAGCGCACACAGCTGCGTCCAGCTGTTTGCACGACCGGAAGGGAGAACTTCAAATTAAAACAGCGGGGTGTACGCATGAATGGGAGTAATCATTTACAAAATAGTGTCTAAACGAACGATTTAAAGTCTGCACCTCTGGAGGTCCGGGTTAATGTGGACTCTTTTGCAGCTCAGTGTCAGATCTAATGAAATTTAACTCTGTGCTACTTTTCCTCACATGCAGTATGCTGAAACTAACATATGCCTTCTTACAACTTTGCACCATTATAATAAAATCAACGTTTTATTCATTTCTGAACATTTTAATCAAATAAATTATCTGAAAAGTGTGGCATGCATTTATATCCACCCCTGAAGTGAAGAATTTGTTGAGTCAACTCTTTGATTTCTGATTCTGATTCCTGCAGATGTTGATACATTCAAGCTTGACCCCACAAATGCAGACTTTGACTGGGTCATTCTTAAAAACTGATATAGTCCAAAGTGCACCCTATAAGTCCTGCATACCCAAAGCATTGGGTATGCAGGACTTATCTCAGACATGTATAAATATGTAGTGTCAAAGTACATTGACTCTTTTAATATTGCCACCACTTTTGGCATTTACTTAATCATATTTAGTTACTTTAACGCAATTGATGCATGTTAGCAGGGTAGGACATGAAACAATTGTGCTTAAGTAACTACCGTTAAATATGATTAAGTAAATGCCAAAAGTGGTTGCATTATTTTTTGTGAACTGGAGTAAGATATGTAGAGAGTTAATTTAACACTAATTCATAGTGGGACCAAAATCACTTGGATTGGTTTTAAATTTAACTCTTAAAGTGTTACTTTTACACTGCAAAATGTACTATATATAGTGAACTGTTGGATGCATACATTTTTGCTAAATAAATTTTTTCTTTGCCAAAATATATATATATATTTTTTTACAATAAATCAATATCTTTTATTTTAAAAATAAAGAACAACATTACAACTTTATATTATCTTAAGGGAAGCAAAACAGTTCAGGAATAGAATTAGAAGTTCTATACCTATTTACAGTCAACTTTATAGATTTTAGAATTGATTGATTTGAGACAATTATGCTGGCTTCTTTAAAGTTTTTTTTTTTTTACTGTTGAGATAGTTAAAAATTCAAAAGAAAATGATGATTAAAAGCAAATGCCATATTACTTATCTTTTCCTCACATTACTAAAACACAGATCTAAAGAGTTCAACTGTATCTCCCTGTATAGGGATACTTTCCTGCTTGAAATTCAACATTTGTTCCAGACTTATATATATAAAACAATTATTTGTTGAAAGCCCTCATTCAAAGTCTGAGGATGTAATAGTTTTGAAGATAGGCAATTTTAACTCTAAACGCTTATATATATATATATAGCCACTGTTAAAGGGAGTTTTAATTAGTTCAAAACATTCTTTGAAATCTATGCTCTGTGAAATAAATGTGTTTCAGTTTATGCGCTTCTTCACTTTTTTTAACTCAAGATCTCTCGTTGGCACTCAGGTGTAGCTGTAAATGAATGTGATTGGTTATTTTCTCCTTAAACATGAATGAATCCAGGTCAAAGTCAGATTTAATGAACAGCCTAAACTCGCAGCAGCTAAATACATGACCAAATGTTTGACTCAGACAGAGAGGGACACTTTCAAAGTCACTTCATATGGCTGAGGGCAGGTTCACAGTTGTGTCATCAGCTGACTGACTGCATTGGTCACTTCACACACACATTCGGAGAAGGAGAGAGGGGGAGGGGGGGGCAATTTATGCATGCTGGATGCGGACCAGGGATGTCTTCGGGCGGTCGACACTCTCGGCTCCATGCTCTCTGTGACTGCAGGGACATATTTGATGTCTTGTTTCATGCGACTGAGGGCCACCGGCCTCGGATTTAGATTGGCTATCAAATTAAAATTCATTCCATGCAAATCATTACCCTGGTGCATGCAGATGTGTCTGACATGCCTCTTTAACCTCTGTTTTCAGTTTTCCTGTGAGACCCTACAACTCTCGCTAATTATGTGGATTCTAACTGCACTTGTGTTTCTACCATTAACCCGGTATTCAATGAGAGGGGAAGCTTTTTTGATGCTTAATATAAGCCAGTAATTCTTTAAAAAGAAACATTTATTGAAGAACCTTATATACTTCTAAACTGCGGGCCAGCAGAGCTAAGCACCTGGAATTGGAGTGCAGGCCCCACATCCACAACAGAGGCTTTACAGCTCAAGGCAACGTGCAGAAATCTTCAGAGGTTGAAGACGAGGCTTAGCCTCGCGATCCTACTGTCCCCCAACCAATTCCAGCTCAGCTATAACTCCCCAAAACACGGCTGCTGCAGCTGCTGGCATGCTGAAAGTGAGAAACAGCACGACGAGCAGCGGCAGCTGGCTGAGAAATTAAAACCCAAGTTAAAATCTGAGGGAAACGCTGTGGTGGCCAGAATGAAAACATCACATCCTGTTTTACATTTTCATCCCCCTTCAGAGCTTCAGTAGTGAACAAAAACATACAAACTAAAACCCTAAAGATGCAGTCGGACCCACACGGCGCATTCTCTTTGCTAATGCAGCTGCATGACCTTTAGAAAGGATTAGTACAGTGAACTATGTCTTTAGGCTACGGTGAGCCAAACAATCCACATTACGCACTGCAGCCTCTTAGATTATCCCAGCCTGCAGCTTTACCATGACTGCAATTACACTGCATGTTTCTGAACTGCTTCATGATGCACAAAAACCTTATGCTGAGGCCAAAGAAGAAAAGCAGCAGCCTGCATAACTTTGGATGATGGTTCAGTGAGCAGAGAAACTGGGAGCAGGTGTGTCTTTTTGGACTAAAGGGGATGCTCTGGGGGTGTGAACCTATTGATATTAACATTATCTTTCAATGAAAAAGGTTTGTCAGAGAGGATTGATAATGAAACAGCATTATAAAGACAGGGGTATCTTGTAGAATTGGAAAGACTGCATAGAAACTACAAATCTGACAATTCATTAATAACCTCCTCCACTAGCAGGCTGAGTAAGGCGCATTCAGAGGCCAACAGGTCCTAAAAAAGTCTGAAACAAGCAGCAGAAATCCGCTGCTCATTTCAGAGAAACTGTCGACAGGAAAATTCCAACCAAATACTTAAATATTATGGAATTTATAATGAAAAAGAAGGAATCAGGCGTCTAAATAATGTTGCTAAGCACTACAACTAACCTGACATCTCTCATTAGTCAGAAAAAAAGAGAAAAAAGTTTACAAATATTTAATTACTTTCATTATTATACACTAAATTGTTGGCCAGCCACTGTATTTCTGTCTGTTATGCATTTATAAAATGTGTTGTACTTATAGGGAGTAAAACGTCACAGCTCATATTTGTAAATAAGCCATCTGTGAACTACAACAGGACAGCTATGAGAATTTGCAACATCAGCTTCTGTCTTAGCGCATAACCCTGAACCCACATGAAGCCCACTGAAGACACCTCTGTCCCCGATTGCATGCAACATACTAACAGTGAAAACCTGTCAGACGATATCTAGGGCTACCTGTCCACCCGACGCTTATGACCTTTTCTTTCCACAATATTAACCTATCTTCGTGTAAAGAAAAGAAACTGGTGTATTATTGAAAAATCTGAAAAATGTAATCTGGATGCAACCAGCTGCAACCCTAAGCAAAATAAACAAACATGATGCCACAATGGAGCCATGAGGGTAAAAAAAGGGGGCTGGTGTGTGCGAGACGTACATGTTTGTGTGCCGCGACAATGATGTAGCACAGCCAGCCTTGGGGATTCAACCTTTTGCAAGTGGCAAAGGCAGACATGATGAAGTCATGGTGACAGCGTGTAACCCGCGGTCAGACATCTTTTTAACACGCGTTTGTTTTTTTTCCCCTACCAATCCCAAGGCCAGTTTATCAAATACACCAGCTTTACACTAGGGAGGGGAACAGCAGGACTTCAATATTAAAGAATTTCAGAGAGAGGGAACATGAGATTAGCCTCAAACCTCTTAAGTGTTGGTATAAAAAGACTCGCTAAAGGCCACTGTCATCATATGCTCACAATGCTAACACCTGCTTATATGTAACAGGTGTAATGGGAGCCAAATTACCTCTTAAATTAGTGCTGGCTTGCTAATATGAACTAATCAGCTCTTGACTGTGTATAATCCTTTGAGGCCATGGATGGGATGTTGGCGGTGGTAAAATTAAATTCAGATCTAGTGTTTTACACAGTAAATACCAATACTGGTTCCTTATATGTAAAGTGGGCAAAACGTTTCTGCATTTTGTCACATTGCAACCTCAAACTTCAATGTATTTATTACGATTGTTTGTGATATATGAATAAAAGATTGTATAGTTCAGACGTTTACATGGTAGATATAGAAATCTAAAACACTTCCAATCAGAAATTATTTTATATATTATTATTATTATATGACATTACAGATTTTATTTGAGATTTCCATGGCCTCCATTTGCCAGATAGGTTTCCCATTAGGTGAATTGGGGAACTCCTCCAGATCCTCAGTAGCCTAGGGAAAGGATTACCACCAGGCTCTACAGCAGACCTCCTCTATGGAAAAATACCTGGCATAAGTTCCCAAAACAAACCTTACATGCCAGCGCATAACAGGCTCCATCTGAAGAAAAGTCAATCTACAGCAAGATGCAGCTGCAGCCATCTTTCTCTGTGGGTACTGGTATTTTATATGAATGACAAGAGTCCGTGCTTCAACCCCGTCCCTTATCTAGACATCACAGGAGAGTTTTATCACACGGAGATCACTTCCACATCTACCTGACAGAAACCTCTCCAGCTCTTTGAGTTGTCGCAATTTTCCTTTTATCAGAAATGTTTCAAAATCAAATGTTTGCTGATGTAGCCATCTTCTGCGATTACTTGACTATATTTATTTTATTTTCTACTTTTATATTATAATATATAATACCATATACTTTTTTGCCAGTTAATATGTCTGTGCTCTCTGTTTTTCCTGTAACCTGGGTGCAAACTATGGGGTTGGCAAATTGATGCTTTTAAATTTATGTTCCTGTTATAGTAAGATAGCTTCGCTTTGGTTACAATCATCCAGAGTGACTGTTATCAGACATAAATGTACTTTAATGAAATGTCATGTGTGAAATGTATGCACACATACCCCCATGCAACCAGATTGGTGCATGTTATATTTAGTATTTTCTCGCTTAAATTTGTTTTATCTATTTGTTTAGTAAGAATATTAGATTAAAGGTAGAGAGTTTAAACATTACTGTCAGTTGGCATTCATCAATATTAACCACTTGGTTGATGTCCTGTACATATATCCGGAAGCTCCTTTGTCATTTCAAACCTAGAGGCAATTTTTTCCAATACTGCTATCTGTTATTCATCATTATATCATTAAGTTCTAAATTAAAAGTGTATCAGTAATGGTTTAAATGGGCACATACAGTTATACAGATAGATCTCCGAATGCTTTGATGGATTTTTCTAAAATAAATCTGTTTTAAAATGAAACCGACATACAAAAAAGGTTATTTTGATTTAATTAATTAAAAAAATAACTTTACATGATAAAAATGAACTTAAATAAAAACCTCTTCATTTTTAAGTTACAAAAACATAAAAAAAACACATAATTTTCTAATTTTTTGAGTTTGCTTATTTCTAAAAGTTCCGTTACTATCCAGCTCCTTTCATATATTTCTCCTCTATTCAGTGCCATGTGACGTCACTCTCCATACACACTTTATATAATTAGTTAATTAGTTACTTATCAGTGTGTCCAAAATGAGTTTATATTTGTTTATTAATTACATACTTTCTATGTTTTTTGTTTTTTTTGAAGAGTCTGCCAACAGCAAGTCGCAACAGCGCCCCCTGCAGCCACAGTGTAATAAGGCCTTGGGAGGTTAAAAGTAAGATTATCTTTTTTTTCATGCTGCCTCCAATACATATAATAGGAGCAGGGCGCCATAGCTTTGGGAATATAATAGTATCCAATATAATTCTTTGTTTGCAAACAAACCAACCAACAAACAAAAAACTCTTAAAACAAATAAATGAATTTATATTAAGATAATATTGTTCTGTTTTTCAGTCTCACCACATGACCGCAGAAATAGCAGAAATATATTTTTGTTTAGCTTTAAAACGTACCATTATATTACATATATATTTATACAAAAATATTATTTATTATTATTATCAATTAATTTTAAAAAATCAGACATTTCTCGGTTAGTGGTATAGATATAAGAACTCCCATAAATACAGAAAACACTTTTCTGTTTTTAAACTGTAAACAGCACAGTAAACAATTAAAGTCACACAGTGGAGATCGCGCGCCGCAGATGTGTCGCGCGCTGCTTTATCTTGCCCTGACAGGCGGGGGGCGTGGCTTCAGTTGCGTCGTCTTCCTACCAGGAAAGAGCCGCTCCAGTCTATCGAAAACGGAGCAGAGGGTAGAATAAGCTGCTGTCAGTAAGTAAAGTTTTACTTTTAGAACAAAGTAGAAAGGTCAGCGTGTTTTCTGAGAGGATGGATCTATAATTAAAGTTTCGTTTTTCTTCTAATGTCGCGCTTAAAGTTAAAAGGAGGTAAAGTTTGCACGAGTTCAGCCAAGGACAGTCAGCCAGCATGGTGGCTTCAACTCACTTTTCTGTTATGATAAACAATAAATCTGTATTAATCAGTTTAGAAAAACACATTCCAGGAGTTTTAAAACAACCTTAAAGAAGAGTAGGCTCAGTTTCCTGATTATTCGCGGTTCATCTGATGATTTATAACTCTAGAGGTAGGTTTGGTAGATCTGACTGTGTTGGTTAGGTTGGTTATAACTAACATTAAAGTAGCTCCTACCATATTTAGACCTGCCTGATCTCCATTTCTGCTAATATTGGATGGCAGCAGCTTTGACAGATGGAGGACATGCCAGCTGAGACTCACAAATAATAGGAACAAGGCTTCTCTGTACTCAAAACAAGCAGACAGATGTCAGATGCAAAGCCACTGGCAAATCTATTAGTAGTGTTTCTCTTATTTTAGCTCCTTCAGACCAGCGTCTGAATCATGGAAGATGATTAGGGCTACTGAAAAAAAAAAAGTTAAATGATTTTTACATTTTATTTCAGTTTAATATGGGAAAAAAGTCTGAATTCTTAGATTAAAGTTCTGACTTTAATCTCAGAATTCTGAGATTAAAGTCAGAATTCTGGAAAAAAAATTCAGAATTCTAAGATTAAAGTCAGAATTCTGGGAAAAAAGTCAGAATTCTGGAAAAAAATTCAGAATTCTGAGATTAGAGTCAGAATTCTGAAGAAAAAAAGTCTGAATTCTGAAGAAAAAAAGTCTGAATTCTGAGATTAAAGTCAGAATTCTGAGGAAAAAAGTGAGAATTCTGAGATTAAAGTCTTCTGACTTTTCCCCCCCATATTATTCTGAAATAATATTTAAAAATCAGTTAACTTTTGATATTTTTTCAGTGGCCCTAATCCTCTTCCATACTGAATAGAGCAGTTTGGATAGTAGGAAAATCACATGATCATAAATCTAACCCATGATCCTCTCTGCAGATTTGTAAGAACATCATGCCGGATATAATGTCAAGACCTTTAATCCGGGAAAGAGGCGTTGAGGGGGCCAGGCAACTGGAAGCCTCTGTGTCAGATCCCAGCACTCCAGTGGTCGGCATCCTGGGCACTGGAGACTTCTCCCGCTCACTGGCCAGGAGGCTGATGGCCTCTGGCTACCAAGTAGTGGTGGGAAGTCGGACCCCCAAACGCTTTGTAGCTCTTTTCCCAGAGGAGATTGAGGTGATACACACACTCACGGTATAATTGGTGCTTTTGTTTCTTTCCCCTCTGGGGATAATTATACATCCTTACTCTTTTCCCACAAGGAGGTAATTACAGTCAGACAGTGTTAGACAAGTGGCTGGATTAAAATTTATTATTAAAAGCAATGTTCTTTTTATTAAGGCGCATTTATTCTATTTGCTTTGTAGTGAAAGATTTAAAATACAACATTTCAGATATGTTTTGAACTGAAAAACAATTGCAGATGTTTCACTTTCACCAGGTTGAACACCCCCCCAACACACACATACACACACACCCTTTCATCACATTTACACTGCCCGTTTAAAACCATGCAGAGATCGGTCTGAGTACGGTAACAGAGATAACTGTTGAGTGTAAATGGCAGGCAAAGTGAACTGGACCATGCAAGACACAACAGAACCGTGCTAAACTAGTACTGGTTTATCAGTAGGCGCAGTTCAGTTCTGGCTCAGTTCTTAGATAAAAAAGAGTGCATGAGCAGACTGCGCCATCTCCTTACAGTCAGCCTCCTTCATGACTTACTGACAATAAATTTCAGACATTCATGAAAATACAAGCTTCCCTACCGTGCCACATGATTTCCAGTGATGATGCTGCTTAGCAGTGTGCTGAACTTCAATGTCTGTTGTGGTTTCCTGCGTCTGTAAGACCTGATTAGACCATCGATTAACAAAAACCTACTCTGTCAAGTAAATTCACCAAAGGCTGCCTTCTTCGCCTGACTCTCCACAAACAACGAAATATCACAATTATAACCAAACTTCCTGAACGTTTAGGGGCGCCGTCTTGTTGATTTGCTTCTTTCCCTCTAGAGAAAAGTAATACCATAAAGGGCAGATTATACTTCTGTAACCGCACGCATCAAATGTTGCTTGGGTCTGGTCGCGTTCCAGTTTTGCTGGTATGCTTCTGCACGGTCGGTCTGGAATTTCTAGGGACGCACAGCAGTTTCCCACCAAAAGCGCAAGGGGGAGCCTATTCGAGAACTTGCGAGAACTTTGGTGGATGGTCATGAGAACTTTGTTTTGGCAGAGACCTTGGCATCTTTATATAATTATTCTGAGGCATTGCACAAGTGGTTGCACTTCCGAACCTCCTCGATTAACCTTTTGTCGTAGTTGTACATTGTAGTTGTTCCTCGGTTTTTAAAAATCAAGTCAAGTCAGCTTTTATTGTCACTTTCTTCATATGCACAAGACATACAAGGGAAATTAAATTACGTTTTCTTTCTATACCATGCCAGGACAAGATATATACAAGACTGACATTTTACAGACTGACATTAATTGCGGGACATGACAGGTAACAGTGATGGACTGGTAACAATAAGTAACAATAAGTGGTCAATAATAAAAAATGGCACAGAATCGAGACAGCCGGAAAGGCATATGAAGGACCAATCACAGCTGCTTTTTGTCTGTGCACTTCCGCTAAAGGTCTGCGCAGGTTTGCAACCATCCGACACGTAGTGGGGATTTTTTTGAGGTGTGCAACAACGGTGGCATAACCTCTGTGTGGGGGGGCGTGGTCACGCACAGAGACGATTTCACGGTTGCAGAGGCTATGCGTCAGAAGCATAAATTGGCCTTAAAACAGTTGAAAGGAACCAAACTCGGCACGGATAACAGATCCAAGCTCGGTCCAAACTCGGCACAGATCGGTTTTCATAGGGTAGTGTAAATAGGGCTTATGCTATGTCTCTTCAGCTCTACTACTGAAACTAGTAACAACAGGTGTAGTAATTGGTAACCGTTAAAATCAGGACCTCTTTGTTCCAGGTGACCACCCAGTTGGAAGCAGTCACTCAGGCAGACCTGGTCTTTGTCGCCGTTTATCCCGAGCACCACTCGACGCTGGTGGAGCTTAAACCCGCATTGGCTGGGAAGATATTAGTGGATGTTAGCAACAGCATATGTATCAGTAAGGGTCCATCCAACGCTGAGCTCCTGGCTGACTATTTTCCTGAGAGCTCCGTGGTGAAGGGGTTTAACACCATATCTGCCTGGACGCTGCAGATGGGCCCCAGAGATGGAGGCAGGCAGGTAGGAAACATCCACAGTTCCAATGATGGTTTCCCTTCTGACTGAGATTAGTCTGGAAGCAATAAAGGTTTGTTTTGCCTGCAGGTTTTCCTGTGCAGCAACAGCCAAAAGGCCAAGAACACGGTGAAGTCATTATGCCACAGGATGGGCTTCATCCCCGTCGATATGGGCCTCCTCTCGTCTTCTCTGGAGATAGAAAATATGCCTCTCTATCTTTTTCCCTCCTGGCGAACGCCTGTTCTTGTCACATTTTCTCTTTTCATCTTCTTCTACCTGTACAACTTCCTCCGGGATGTGTTGCAGCCCTTGGTCACCGAGAAAAAGAGCGTCTTCTACAAAATGCCGATTGAAGTCGTCAACGTCACTCTTCCCTCCGTCGCCTTGGTGATGCTTTCGCTGGTCTACCTGCCTGGTCTGTTCGCTGCCTTCCTCCAGCTGCGCTCGGGGACGAAATACAATCGTTTTCCCAACTGGTTGGATCGCTGGCTGACCATGAGGAAGCAGTTGGGACTCTGTAGCTTCCTGTGTTCAGTGCTGCATGCTGTTTACAGTCTGTGTCTTCCTCTGAGAAAGTCTGCTCGCTTTAAACTGATCAACATGGCCTACAAACAGGTGAGATGAAGAAGCATTTGATTGAAATGTGTTCAAAACGTGCATAGGAACCCTTTTGTGAAATTTTGTTTTCATGAGGCCCAACTACAGTATGAAAAATGCTCCTTTGAGTTCTCTTCTAGCTAGTTTAGTTCTGTGTTTGGTGTCCAGGTGAAAATAGGTATCGAGGACTCGTGGGTAGATGAAGAAGTGTGGAGGATGGAGCTCTACCTGTCCGTAGGCATCATGGCGCTCGGACTGCTCTCCCTGCTGGCTGTCACCTCTCTACCTTCCGTGGCCAACACCATCAACTGGAGGGAGTTCAGCTTCATCCAGGTACCCACTTACAGATATGCTTCATGTCACCCTTCTTTTTCTTTCCCTTACACAGCCTGACGGCAGAGAACGAGAAGGCAGACGTTGCAGAAAGGCAGGTGACGTTCCCGCAGAGACACACTCTGTCTCCTGCAGGTCTCAGTCCAGTTCTGAATGTCCCACACGTGTAAACAAAGAGGGTTTCCACTCCTGCAGCTGCCCCAGATTCACAGCTAAACTTATCCATTGACAAAGCCACCAAAGTGTTGTGACTCAGCACACACTTCCTCTCCTCCTGCTCCTCTTTTTCTGCTGGCCCGCGGTCTTCCAGGACTCAGTCGGCCAGTGCTGCTATTTTCTTTTCATCCCTTGGTAATCCGCTGGCCGTCAGATTAGTCATGTGCCTACAAAAGGAAGGGCAATTTGTGCTTGGTGCATGTGGAGTCGTTGGGCAAAGCTGCAGGATGGTGTGCTGCTGTGACGGAGCACCTTACGCTTGAACTGCACAGCTTGAATGCATGGACAGTATAAATTGTCATAGAAAGAGCAATATCGTCCTTGAATTCTCCGGTTTTGCTCATAGGGTCTTTGTGAAAATGATTTAAAAAAGTACTTAGAGTGCAACTAAAGGTGCAAAATAACAAAGAACAGAGTCTGCCTTTATTTTTAGAAACAAAGTGTCCGAAATGGTTCAGTTCCTTCTTGGACTTTATCGTTCGCTCACATAGCTGTGGAGGAATTTTGGTCCAATGTTTCAGTTAAGGTTTGCGAATTGTGGCTGTTTTTAAAGCCCACCCTCCACTGAATTTGGCCTAATGTTTGGACTTTGACTGGATCTTTCTGGATAAGATTTGCTGCTGTTCTTATTATACTTTAGTACAAAGAAGAAGTTATAATCGATTTACTGACTGAAAGATGCTATGAACCTAGGCCAAACCATTACACCTCCTCTACTGTGCTTTTCCATTGGTACGTAGTGTTTGTGCTCATATAATGTGTTTACTTTTCACCAAAGTAAACACATTGTGGGTGGGATGCATTTTAAGGAGTTTCTGGTATGTGTAGTTAATAGTGAAGCCACAGCAAAAAAAAAAACAAAAACATTTGTAATTGCATACTGTGTATTTATACACTTATTTTGATCATAATTAGTGTTTCAAATGAATAGAAAAATCATGTAATGTTGAAATGTACGTCATTAAAAAAACCCAACTCTGTCTTACTGTATTACTTCAAATTGGGTACTATTGTCATTTTGTATGCACATAGTCTATACAAAATGAAATTTCGTTGCATACAGCTTACGACGGTGTGATGACATTGCAGCTGGAATAAGATAACATTTCAATATAAAGTGAAGCAGTGATCAGAATGTAACAATGTAGGAGAAAAATAGTTTTAAATTATGCAAAAAGGCATTAATATGAAAAGGTTCAGTGTAGTGCAAAATAATATGGTCCAAAATGCAGTAGAACGTAGATTTGTTTCCTATTTAAAAGGATTATAAAAGTTTGAAGTCATTGATAGTGAAAAATAATGTTGTGAGTGTGATGCAGAGTCCAGTTTAGAATTCAACAGTTCAGTAGTCTGATGGCAGCAGGGAAAAGATGTTGCAGAACCTGCTGTACCTGCAGCAGATGCTGCAAAGCCTCTTCCTAGAGGGCAGCAAGCAGAACAGTCCAGTATTAGTCAGGAAAAACTAGAGATTACAGTCCAATGTTACAGACTTAGCGACTTTGTCGCTATATATTTAGGAACTTTTCAAGGTTCTCTTGCAATAATCTTAAACTTAAAAAAAACACGTTTCAATTATCCCTAGAAGGACCGTTCTCGTCTTTCGTAGCTCCATCTGCCGCCTCTCCTCTGCTCCAGTGCTCTTTCTGCAACGCTGTACTCTCCCGACCTTCTGCTAAACTTTCGTTGCTCCAAAGAATGTCTTTTTGAGTTTCCTGCCTTTCCTCTCTGAGCTCCAGAACGCTGTCCCACATTACCTTAGTATGAAGAGCCAAGGCGACCAAAAGCGTTCTTGTTTATTTGCAAAAATGATTTTGACGTGTTTATACTTCTATGATGTTAAACAGTACTGTGTAGCTTCTATACCACTAACTACTATATCAAGTCTCCTTTTTGACTGACACCATTGCAATCAACTATGTCCTTATTTTGCACCTCTAAAATTAATAAACAAATGTTACCAACAGCAATAACTCTCAGAATGCTTGTATGCGGATCTTTTATTATACACAAAATTTATTACTAAAGCATGAATATTTGAATGTTACAGTCTTAGGACTCTTTCTTGAGTTAGCCATCTGTATGACAAATTTATGCTTCATTATTGTAAAAGTTATCCTACGTTTCAAAGTTGCATTAATGTTTTTTTTTTTGTTATTGCAGACGAATTCATAAACATTTAGATAAAGAGATCATTTACGGAATTTAAAATATAGGCACAAGATTTGGACTCCAGAGGGCGATAATGTAACAGAGTAGATCTGATGCATATTGCACATGAATGCAGGATATTAGCTTGACTGGTTTTAGCATCCATGCTAAAATCAGCCCCCGAAGCAGCTACAGTTTAGCATGAACATTCCACACAAGAATATTACAAACAACCAGCAAATCAGATTCTGCAAACCAGGTGTCGGCAATGTTCCTGGATACCTTAAGCATAAACCAGGTTTAAACTACCTATAAATATAAATATCGGTGTATTGTGGTCTCATGTGTTCTCAACAGTAGGAAAGCATTCAATAAATATATGATTTAGCTCTTATTTGGGAAATACAAACCCTATTCAAAGTGTTCTGGTCGAATAACTTCATGAAATAACTAACTTTGTTCCAGCATTTCTGATAGGGCAGATAAATTAATCCAGCGATCCCTGATTGAATTAGTCTAACTTATTGAATTCCTCCATTTTATTTATTCTTTTACTTTCTTTAAAACCTGATTTTTGCTTGCGAAATTAGTGGCTTTCTCATATATTGCGCTGCTTTCCCCCGTAATGATATAGCAACAATAAAAGTTGTACATTTGTTGGATTTTCTTTTACACTTTTATGTGTCCTTGACTTAAACAGATGTAATCATATATTAGTTTATCATTAACTCTTTCATTTTAAATCTTAAGTTCACAAAGTGCACTATTACATGTAGCTCTTAAACTTATGACGGCCTCAAAACCTGATCGACCTTTTGTCCCGTGCTGCTGCAACTTCCCAGATTCACAATATCTACACTTCTTTTGCAGCTTTCATATCTTCTGCATAAAGATGGTAGTTATGTAAGACGTTATCGTTGCTTCTGTGAAGTAGAAATTGCTCCAGTTAGCTTCCGCCGTACCACAGACAACCTTGGGACGTTTCTGGTGGCATTTGGACCCTGAGGGTGCTGTAAGCTGCTCAGTCAGTCACAGTCAGAGAGGAAAACACCAATGGGGTCTCTTCAGGTCAGCAGTGGTGGGTCAGTGTGTGTCCTCAGGGTCTGCTGTGGCCTCTGACACAGTCGGGTAATGCTATGGACTTGCTGACTCTCTGGCTCTGCCTCTTTGTAAAAATGAACATTTTTAGACGTGTTTCATGTGCAGTATAAGCATTTCACCTGTCGTGCATTGCCTTATAAAAGTTTATACTCAATGTTTAAATGTTCTTTAAAGGTTTTTCCTCATTTTAAAACAATAAAGGGCTGGTTATACTCCCACAGCAGTGTGTCGCAGTGAGCTTGTGACAGGTATGACTCAGATATTTTTGATTTATGGCCAATATTGAAGCGTGGTCTGCGCCGTTATTCCACGCCACAACGCAAGAGGGACAATCACAAACTAGCTTTGGTCGAGATACGGCAGAGGCGGTGAGGAAGTCAAGACAAGTTTATGCGACAACGGAGGGACGTGTGCGAAAAAGAGCGGGGATCCAGGTGGAAAAAGGGTCTGTAGTCGTTTTCCACAATGGCGGTCATACAAACAAAACAAGCCGATAAGGTGTCACTACCCGATCCGTCCTGGAAGCCCGATCCTTTCTGCACCATCAGATCAATTCAGCACGCGCATCCAGATATACCTCCGGTTGGTCCTCGATTTTATATTTTTTTAAAATACCTTAATGACATTTTCCCTTCCCAAAAATAGTAAACATACTAAAATATAATCTGTTAAAGGTTAATAATGTATTTTTTGAGAAAATCCTTTGTTTTATCACTCGTCTCTGCCCGATCTACACCGGAAATGTGATCCTACGCTACTTGCGGGAACTAACTTATTCGGCTTTGGATTTAAACATAAATCTAGTGTTTTTTGAGTTTTATGTTTTCGTTTTGTTTTAACCTTATGCTATATAGTGCGTTATCTAAATAAATAAACAACTAAAATGCATATAAACATAGTTTAAATATATTTCGACGGACTGCTCTGAGCTAGAGGTGTAAATCACATCCATCATGGCGATTCGATTCAGTATCGATTTCCTGACCCAACGATTGGATTATCTTCGATACTCAAGAATACACCACGATTCGATTCGATTAATCGGTACATTTTTTATTTTTTATTTTTTTACACCTTACAGGCTAGACAATGTTTCAAGTTTGAAATAAATCAAACTTGAAACGAAAGCTGTAATATTGTTATGCATTTTTTTAAGAAACAACAGCAAATACCGGTAACAGAAGTAGAAAAGTTGCATTAAAAAATACTGCAAAAACATTGCAGAAAATCAGTGCAATGAGTGCAATGCAATACCTCGGCTCTAGACCTCCCGTCCCCTTGAGAGACGCTCCGCTGCTCCTCTCCCAAATTGTAGCTGACCACAAACAGTGCCGCAGACAGGAGGCCGGCTGGTTTTGTTTTTGTGACCGAAATTCCGGAAAACAACTCGTGAAGTTTGACCCGCTAGAAGAGCGAGCTGCGCGAGAACGCTGGGACCATTTTTCCACCTGGATCTCCGCTCTTTTTGACCCTCATGTCCCTCCGTCATCGGTCTAAACTCGCCCCCACTTCCTCGGCCGCCTCGGCCGTATCTAGACCCACAGCGTGTAGCACAGACCACGCTTCAATATTGAGCATAATTTAAAAATGTCTGTGTGAAGCTCACTGCAACACACTGCTGTAAGAGTATAACCAGGAAGCGCGGTAGGAGGGCAAAATAGGTTTAGTGGCACCGCAGCACGGGAGGAGAATTACGCCCAGGAGCAAATGGATAAAAATAGGCCGGAGGAAAAAAAAAAACATGAATCGATTATCTTCCGGACGTGTCGATGCATCGGATCGTCGGCTTTTGGATTGATGCATCGATACAAAACGATTATTATTTACACCCCTACTCTGAGCACGTCTGATGATGTCAGAGAAGCAGTTTAACGATGAAAATGTAAAAAGCATTAAAATAGTCTCACCGTCATAACATTTTTTTTACAGATTGGTATTACTATTCTTTAGTGAGCTAAGGATAAAAATAAGTAGTAAGTTTATAGACACCCAGATATATATCTGTTCGCGCATGCGTAGAACAGATCGCGCTTACGGATCGGATTGGGTAGTGACATAAGGTACCAAACACAAAATATGCATAGTGTAGAGCGGATGTTAATTTTGACCAATCAGAGGCCTCCTGTCTGCGGTCACCTACAAATTCGGAGAGGTGCAGCAGAGTGTCTGCGGAAGGGGCGGGGGCATATCTACGTTAACTGCGACACACACTGACGACCTGGTTTCAGCATAAACCAGCCTTCAACTATCGATGTGTTTTACTTGGATATGATGGGAGAGATTAAGAGAAAAAAAAAATAAATTGATGATTTAAAACATTACAAAGGAACAGAAGCTTAGGGGTGAAAAATTAATTGTGGAGATAAAGCCCTAAAAAGTTTTGTTTGTAGAAGCTGACGAAGCTTGAAGGGGATTCAGCAGACATGGAGGGAAACTCTGAGGTGACGTATCATTCTGTGGGGATGCTTTTCTTCTGCAGGATAGAAAAACTGGTTAAAGCTGAAAGGAGGTTGGTTGATGGCAGAAAACGACAAAAGACATAGAGCCACGGCTGAAAAGGAATACTTTAGAACAATGTAAATTAATGTTTTTACTGTCTTAAAAGTGTCATTTCATATTTTCTGAATTAATGCAGCCCTGGTCTGGATGTTTGATGTTTTGCAGTCCTCGCTTGGTTACTGTGCCTTGTTCATGGCCACCACCCACACTCTCCTCTACGGGTGGAATCGGGCCTTCGATCCCAAACAGTACCGCCTCTACATGCCCCCCACCTTCGTCCTGGTGCTGATTCCCCCCTTCGTGGTCCTGCTGGGCCGCCTGGCTCTCTGCCTGCCCTGTGTGGCCGAGCGGCTCAGGAAGATCCGCCGTGGCTGGGAGAGGAGCAGAAACGTCTGCTTCACGCTGCCTTCTGAAGGCTACTGCAACGGGCTGGAGGACATCAGCAATGTGTGAGATATGCTGTTGCTCTGAGAAAAAAGGATGAATATCTACAAAAGAGGTAAAATATTTATACTAAGCTGGAGTCTGTCGACGACTTGCTGAGGTTCTTTTCAGTGAGGTGGAGGGAAGACCCTGAGAGACATCCGAGCAGCACCACACTCTGAAATGATCTTTAATTTATTGTTTTCTCTATTTTAAGTGTCAATCGTAGTAGAGAACAGCAGCTCTTTCAAATTAAAACATCCTTACACAGCATACTAAAGTGCTTAAGCTCACCAAAGTAAATTTATATTTAAATCCTCATTAAGAACACTTTCCATGCGATTATTTATATTTAAAACTGAAGCTTGAAAATGAAAAGAAACAAAACAACTAACTGGTTTATAGATGTCTTTAGTGTTATTGATAGGTTTCATCTTTTTCCTACTTATTGTACTTACCATTTTTAGTATGTTTTCTTTTTCCTAAAGCTGCCTTCAAGACAGAGCCAGAATATTTTTTTTACAGGTTGTGCCTCCATTACCCTCAATTAGAGTATTAAAAATAATTCAATCCAAACTGTTCCAAAATAGTTAAGTTAGATACATTTGAATATAATTATTTCTGCTGGATTTCATTTAGGGGTAGCAGAGTAAAGAGGGTTAAGTAAATAACTCTGATTTTTATACACCATTTGAATCCATCTTCTTAACCATGTTGGAAAAAACACCCTCAACTCATCCATTAGTTTGTGTTTGAAAAGTGCAAAACATTGAGCCGTTCACAAATATTTCCCACTAACCAGGTGTTATTCAGTTACTCAGTGGGAAATAATCTGGTTTGTTGTATGTTTTCTGTCACTACTTTACCCTTTTATTGTCTGGAATTATATTTTGTATAGATTTGCTGCCAATGAACATGTCTTTTTGTAAGATTGTAGCTATTTTGGACAATAAATCACCAGAACAATAAATAAAGTTAGTTTTCTACAACAATGTGTGTTTGTGTTTAAATTGAATGCATTGAAGGGATTCACAGGCTCACCCAGAATGTTAATAAAATCATGTACAGGTC